CAAGTAGAGTCAGGGAACATGTTATGAAGATGATAAGTATATTTTCTAAGTTAAAGGCACCTAAGATTCTCATTGCAGAGCTTTTTCTGGTCTATTATATTCTGAATAGCTTTCTTAGTCAATTTAATCAGCTAAATGTTGCTTATAATGTTCAAAGAGATAAATGAGATTTAAATGACCTTATTATTGTATGTGCCCAAAAGGAGTATAGAATGCAGCGTGAAAATATTGAAACTGTGCAATTAGATTTTCAGTCACCACAGAACAAAGGGTCTTCTCATCACCATAAGTCTAAGTTCCATAAGAAAAATAAGACAAATCGCAATCCGTAAAATAAAAATTTTGGAGGTCAGACTTCTGGTGGTCCCAAAATACTTATAAAGAAAAATGATCAATGCAAGTTCTGTAAAAAGAAGGGTCACTGGCAGAAAGATTGTTTTAAGTTTAAGACTTGGTTGGAGGAGAAGAAGAGTTCTGAAGGTATCTCCTTGGCCTTAGTTATTTTTTAGTCTTCTTTTGTAGAAGTTCTTTTAAATTCTTGGTAGTTAGACTTGGGAACCAGTATTCATATTGCGAATTCTTTGTAGGGGTTCACAAGCAAATGGAGGCCAAGTGAGAATGAAGTAAGCCTGTACGTTGGAAATGATGTTCAAGTGAAGGTTGAGTTTATAGGAGTAGTGAAGTTATCTTTAGAGTCTGGTTTCTCTCTTGTTTTGGAGAATACAGCTTTTGTACTGACAATGAGGCAGAATTTAATTTCTATATCGAAATTTGATGATTCAGGTTTTTCCTTTAATTTTGGTAATGGAATGATTAAATTGTTTTATGATTCTCGTTTGAAAATGACATTTTATGTGATGGTTTATATAAATTGTCTTTGACTTCTTTTGTTGAAGTCTATTGTGTTGCCATGTGTCAAAAAAATTGTTTCTAATTCTTGAATCATCCTCCATATTGTGGCATAAGTGGTTAGGTCACATTTCAAAGGATATGATGGAGAGATTGATTAAAGTTGAGATACTTCCCTCTCTCGACTTCTTTGATTTTGACATTTGTGTGGATTGTATAAGAGGAAAGTTGACTAAATCCATAAGGAAAGATTCTACTAAGAGCGATGGTATTTTGGACTTAATACATACTGATATTAGTAGACCTTTACCTTCCACCAAATGTGTGAACAAATATTTTATAAATTTTATTGATGATTTCTCTCGATATGGATATGTTTACTTGATTAATGATAAATCCCATGCACTTGAGAATTCAAGATTTTCAAAAATGGAAATAGATAAATAATGTGGGAAAAGTATCAAAGTTCTAAGATCTGACCAGGGTGGTAAGTATTATGGGAAGTATGATGAGTCTCATCAAAACATGAGTGATTTTGCAAAGTTTTTACAAGGTGTAGCATAGTGCCTCAATACATCATGCCAGGGACACCTGTGCCGAATGACATTTCTAAAAGACGTAATCGGACTTTAAAAGACATGGTCAAGAGAATGATAAGTAGAACAAATTTGCCAGAATATCTATGAGGTGAAGCCTTGAAGACTCTATGTATATTTTGAACAGAATTCCAAGTAAAGTTATTGTAAAGACACCTTTCTACTTGTGAACAAGACATAAGCCAAGTTTGGCTCATTCCAGAGTTTGGGGATATCCAGCCGAGGTTAGAATTTATAATCTTTTTGAGAAGAAATTAGTCCCAAAATCCAATCCTGGTTACTTTATTGGGTACCCAGACAGATCAAAAGGATATAAGTTCTATTGTCCCAACCGTGACACCAAAATTGTTGAGTCAATCACTGCTAGATTTTTGGAAAATAATTTTGGTGATGGTAGGTGATGGTGGGAGTTCTACGAATGAATTTTTTGTTGAACCGAGTCCAACTATTATTCCAGTTTCTGTTATACAGGAAATAGTTATATCTCAACCAGCTGAAATTGCTAATGAAGAACGTGGGCACCAAGATGAACTTCAGGTTCCTCCACCAACAACGATTGAATCAGTTTCTCGGCCACAAGTTAGGATATTACGAAGAGAAATGAGATCTGCATTGCCCAGTGATTACATTACATATTTGTTGGAAAGTAATTTTAATATTGAGCATATTGTTGACCATGTTACTTATAATCAAGCATTGACAGGTCCTAAGTCACATAAATGGATAAATGGTATGTACGATGAAATGAATTCTATGGAACAGAAACAGAATAAAGTTTGGGAACTTGCTGAACTTCCTTCGGATGCTAAAGTCATAGATAACAAGTGGATCTTCAAAAACAAATTGGACTCAAAAGGGAATGTTGAAAGAAAGAAAGCAAGATTGGTTGCAAAAGAGTTTACTCAACGAGAAGGCATTGACTATAATGAACCATTTTCACCTGTTTCATCCAAAGATTATTTTCAAATTATCATTGCACTTGTGCACACTATAATTTCGAGTTTCATCATATGGATGTTAAGACAACTTTTCTGAATTGAGATCTTTCGGAAAGGGTTTACATGAGACAACCTGATGGTTTTGTTGTGAAGGGAAAAGAAAACTTGGTATACAAGTTAAATAAATTATTATATGGCATCAAGCAGGCATCACGACAGTGGTATTTGAAATTTTGATGAGGTTGTGACTTCTCTTGGTTTGGTTGAAAATACAGTTGATCAATGCATTTATCTCAAAACTAGTAAGAGAAATTTTATTTATCTTGTCATTTATGTTGATGATATTTTGCTTGTTAGCAGTGACTTGGGGTTATTTCGGGAGACAAAGAAAATGTTATCTGCTAATTTTTAGATGAAAGATCTTGAAGAAGCTACTTATGTACTGCATTGAAATACATTGTGATATAAATCGTGGCTTGTTGAGACTTTCTCAGAAAGCTTATATACGACGTGTTCTAGAAAGGTTCAATATGCAGAAATGTGCATCTGGTGATGTACCTATCATAAAAGGGGATAAGTTTAACAAAGTTCAATGTTCAAGGAATGAGCTAGAAAGAGAATCTATGAAGATGATACCATATGCTAGTGTTGTGGGCAGTTTGATGTATGCTTAAATTTGCACTAGACCGGATATTGCTTATGCAGTCAGTGTTCTCAGTAAGTTTCAGTAGAATCCAGGATAAGAGCATTGCAAAGCTGCTAAGAAATTTATAAGATATTTAAACAAAATTGAAAGTTACATGCTTACTTTCCAACGTTCAAATCACCATGAGGTGGTTGGCTACTTAGATTCAGATTTTGCTAGATGTAAAGATGATTTGAAGTCAATCTCAAGATATATTTTCATGTTGGCTATGGAGTTATCTCGTGGAAGAGTGTTAAGTAGACTCTAGTGACATCCTTTACTATGCAGGCTGAATTTGTGGCATGTTATGGAGCTACAGTCCAAACTGTTTGGTTAAGGAATTTTATTTCTAGGCTGAAAGTTGTCGATTCCATCTCGAGGCCAATAACTATTTACTGTGATAATAGCACATAAGTGTTCTTTTCAAGAAATAATAAAAATTCTAGTGGATCAAATCACATTGAAATCAAATATTTGGTGGTCAGAAACAGAGTCAAGAAAAAGTGATGAAAATAGAGCATATAAATACAAAGGCGATGATTGCAGATCCTTTCACTAAGGTACTCACTCCCAAAGTCTTTAAGACGTATGTTACTAATATGGCTATTGTAGAAACCTGATATTTTTGGTTAGTGGAAGTTATTTATGTAACAGAACTACTTTTTAGCTTGATCCCTTCACGGGGTACGTAGGCAACTCATATGTTCTTTGGGTTCTACCCCTTCTAATAATAAAACATATTTTCCCATTTTCATAAATTATTTTGAGCATGCATTTATTAGTGAGAGTTATTTATGTAAGACAATTCATATGTTTTCGGGTATATCCCCTTCCGATAATAAAATATATCTTCCCATATACATAAATTATTTTGAGCATGCATGTGACTTATGTCTTTTATTATGATATTATTTTGATATCGAGATATGACAAATAAAGATATAAGATGAGTTTCTTTCAGAGACATGTGACTTCATTTTGATTAGAAGTATTGTGAGAACCGATATGAATTAGCACAGTTTTTTATCACATTTGGTGCTAAGTTCATACCGTATATTACCGTATTGGTTGGAGGATGGAGATCCATGTCAATAAGGATGTTGACATTTGTAGCTATGGAGTGATCTCCTACATCATTTGACTGGTGTAACGACTTTCATGTTCGATGTTGACATTTTTGTTGGACTAGATCATGTTGTGTAAGATGTTATCATTGTAGTTATACTTGTGTGGTAACCTATGTAGTCTAACCCCGAGGTTAAAAGTTTTGGTCTATAGCAATCAAATATTTGTCCATTGGGAGAATGTTAGAATAATTCTATAATGTGGACTTCCATGTGATTGCGAAATTTACGGGTTAGATGTATGGTTTGGAATGATACTGTGATTATATCCAATATGTTAGTGATCACTTGAATCGTTGTACACCTTATGAGATATATTCTTATAATGTGATAATTTTAAGTATATGGGCCGAAAATATGAAATCCCTAATTAGGGTTAGAGTCGTTAATTGGACAGCTTTATAATTTCCTATATAAATGTTAGGTCCCCCTCCTCTCCATATATTGTATTTATTGGCTTGCCCCATTTAACGGCTAATACTTTTGAGAAGCAAGAAGGTGAATATCTAATTGGTAATATTCATACACAAAATGTCTACCGCAGGTATGAATTTTCAAATTTCAACATGATATGCCATAGAATTAAGTACAATTGAAGGACGAGAAGAAACTATGTCATAGTATTTATGAAGTATCCAACTGTGAAATGGTACAATAACTAATGACATTGAACAAAACTTAAAGAATTGCACATAAAGTAAGTACTGGTCCAGAAACACAATAACCATGTTCCTTTTAACATACAGACAGAGTAAATAAACATAGCAAATAAGCTTCAGCATTCAACAGCCAATTATTGTGTTCAACTTCAAGCAGTGAGTTCTTCTTCCTTGTGGGTTTCAATGACAACATCAGATTGTGGATACGCAACACATGTTAGGACCCACCCTTCTGCAATTTGGTCATCATCAAGAAAACTTCCATCAGATTGATCAACACCGCCTGAAACAACTTTCCCTGCACATGAAGAACAAGAACCTGCCCTGCAAGAATAGGGCAGATCGATGCCCAACTCTTCTTCAACATGGTCGAGAATGTAAACGTCGTCAGGGCATTCGAATTCATGTTCACCACTTGGGGTGACGATTTTCACTTTGTATGTAGCCATGCAGGTTACCTTTCCATTACCACCAGATTTGAGTCCAAAAAGGGCTTGCTGCCCAAAGTTTGGAAGTGAACGTAGGCTAGTAACAGCAGCCGGCTTCCTCGGAAGCAAGGCGGTGCTGACCATAGTGGTGGCGAGACTAGCCATTTGCGGAGGTGTGTGGTGGAGGAAGTAGTTCAAGAATGCGATAGGAAAGTATCGGTCCCTCTTCTAGTGTTGGAAATCGAGAGAGGGGTTGAGGAAATAGGTGGTTTGTAGAGGTTTTGTATGGATTTCTATCCTCCACGTGTCAAAATTTTGTGAGTAGGTTTATCCTTTTTATCAACTAGTGTTTTCTTGTGAATGTGGTTGACACGATCCTTCTATCCTATAAAATCACAGCCTTCCATTTAGAGTGGGGGTGGTGAAACAGGGTGAGGTATAGGGTTATTTTTGTTCTTATTACAATCAAGATTTTGAAGTGTTGCAGCAATTTTTCCGCCTTCCATTTTCGGGATAGGGTTATTTTTGTTCTTATTACGATCAAGATTTTGAAGTGTTGCAAGAATTTTTCAGCCTTCCATTTTCGCCGGGGGGAGAGAGGAATAGGAAAGCAGAGTTTTTCATAAATGTATTACACACAAAATTAGTGGATTAAATAAATGTACCGCGGTTGTTATAGTTATGGTTGGTGCTACAGAGGGTCGGTGATTGACCCAAAAACAGAGGGCCGAGGTGACTTCATCTCAACCCTTGATCAGAATTGCAACAGTAAAAATCAAAGGCCACCTCGACCCCCTGTTTTTTGGTCTGTCACCGATCCTGTTACACTATCATTTTTGTAACTATAAACAATACAAGAAAATACCCACAAAAAAAGTAGCAAAACAAAGTAGGATCAAGACACAAAATTGAACGGTCTACTGGACAATATTGCACAAGATAAATGATTATATTTCAACTCAATTTTCTTCTTTAATCATATCTTTTATTATTCTCGAGTCTAGTATACAAACCATCAGACAGGTAAAATAGCAAATCCAAAAGAACGAGGAAAATTCAAATGGTTTCGGCTCAAATTTAAGAAGGCGTAAATCTTGTAAAAGAACAGATAAATTAACTTATTAAATGAACTGAAAGTGTTTCGTAATGATACAAACACAAAAGAAACATCGATGTATACAGCTAGCTACTGAATGGTATTGGTAGATAATGCTAACCGAGTCAGAACACCAAATCATCAAATTTTCAACAGACGACAATCACTAAAACTATCAACAAAGTGTAAGAAACTATATATCGCCATGTGGCTACCGAGAAAGAACACCCAGTGATACATTTTTAGCAGACGAGAAACCGCTCAGAAAATTCATCAACCATAGAACCAATTACGCAAACAGTAAAATTTCGATTATGTACATAGCCTTGCCCTTTATCGGAGATGAGAAGAGTACATAGTAAACACATAAGTGAAAACTAGCTAATCACCCAAGTCACAGCAACATAATTCTCATCAAAAAAGTCAATTCTACAATTGACATGCTACTAGCAGAACAAAATCAACAAAACCCAGAGACTTAAGACACTGCCAGCAAATTCTGTCAAACATTAGCTATATCACAGCTACGGCTAATATCTAGCAAGATTTTTAACTATAAAAACAATCAGGGTATTCTAATTTATGTAAGTAGGCTTTGTTTTACAACCCAGAGTACAGGTGAAATTTTCAGGGCCTCCCACAATCCCAGGTTATACCTACTGTAATCATTGCCCAGGATCCAAAAGAGAAACTACAAGGTTTCTTCTATCCATTCCCGACGATGTAAAACATGGAGATGCTAAGTTGATTTCTCTCCCCTTGATCAAAAACTAGTCACATTTGATGTTTCGGTAAATCCTCCTTACAAACAAATTAGAGCCCAAGTAACCAACAGCACCTGAACAAAGCAGTGAGAAACAGCCAAAGTAAATAACTCATCAAGAACTTTTGCAGGCAATAACTCAATAGGTAATGATAAGAACGCCCTTGTAGCAAACTTAAAAGGGAGAAACACAAATCATAAGGAAGTTGTAAATATAAAAACTGCATTATTGGACCTGTCCGTGGAAAAACAGCTTAGTAATGAAAAGGCATGAGAAGTTACATAAACACAAGTGTACTAACTACAAACTTTTAAACCATTATTGGCTAGCTACTCTTTGACTCCAACACGTGTGAGCACAATTGAAAATGTCATACATAATTGGAATATTCATCAAGGGATATCATGATAGGCAAGGTCTAATATGAGGAACAAGAAAAGAGACATGACCAAATTTTATCCTCTGAGGAAAGAGATCAGCTTCTTTTTTTTGTTTTGCATGAATGGAAAGGAAGAGTTTTTTACAAAAACACAAACTAAAAAGAATATTGTATGAAAATTGATCTAAAAAAAGGACTGATTTACAGATAGTACTTCACCATGTCAAGTATTCTAGAGAAAGTCGAAGTGATTTGAACATGAATCTGAGACATCTGAGGCTACTATGGGATTTGCTTAGTGAACGTATCTAATACTGAATTGCTAATTTTTTAGTCACATCTGAACAGGTCAATTCATGATTGACGCAATTGATTCTCTAGCTGCTAACTTTCTCCTTTGAACTAAAGAAAGGTAGGTGTAGAAATCCCGAAATTAAGGGAATTATCATGGTATTATTGTAATTACTTGTATGGTATAATTGGTGATTATTTAGGAAATAGTTTTCTTTCTTTAATTAGGAGATTACATTCCTTAATTCTACCATCCTATTGTATTATAAATTGAGCCACACCATTGTAAGAAAATCATTGAGGAATATACAATTAATTGTTTCTCATTCTTTGTCTTTAGGACTTTCCTCTCGTGCCATTTTTCATCCGACATTGCTATATCAACTGGCGAGGGCCACTCAAAAGGATACCATCAATGTTTTCTAATTGCTTTCAGATGCACAAGATATGTTCAATTTAAAAGAAAAGAAAGAAAGGCCAGCAAAAGTAACTTCATTAGAACAACTGATCAATATAGACTCACCGCAGAGGATTCCTAGACCAAGACAAAACATCAATGTATATCCAAAGTAGAAGCTAGTCTGGAAGAACCCTGACATCTTTGTCTTTACGTAGTAGTAATATATTGAGTACAAGTACACATAGAAGGCCGTTGAGAATGCCGAGAAGAAGGAAGTCCACTGCCAGTGATAATTCTCAGCATTTAGCAGGAAGTATGTTCCCACAATTGTGACGCAGATGGTAACAATGACAAGAATCAGGAAAACCAGAAGCATAAAGCCATAGACATAGTACACCTGCCAAAAGCAAGAAGCAACAGAAGAAATGATATATCCCATACACATCAACTTATGACTCTACCATCTTTTCTATTATGATAACGATTGTCCTTTTGAGACCTTGAAAACAGGTCTTCTGTTCGTCAAAAGAAAGGAGAGAAAGAAAACGAGCCTTCTGCATAGATTTTAGTTATTACAATAGGGGATGGAAGAGGAACAGAGCACTATGCATATTCTAACCACACAATGAAGCCAATATTTGTCTTTCACAACATATAACAGTTCTCACAGAGCTCCTTTATTTTTGGACCGATTAGTTCATGTCCTTGTAATTGTTCTCTTCCTCTTTAGTTACGAGTTTATTGAAAACCTCTGTCACACCATTCACCACTACTTACCGATGTCCTCACCAATAAGAAAACAAAAGGATGTAAAGAAAACCTAGAAAATGGATGTTTATTTCAACTTAAACACCCATATTCCACTATGCATTACCTAACCTAGAAGAAAACTGACACCAATGTTGCTTTGGTGTTTGCCTGCAAAATGTATAAGATTGTCACTTGTACGTGTTTTAGCGTTTGAACAAGTTACATCATGGAGATTCTGGTGGTACAACCATGACACCCAGCTTTCTTTGACTCAGACACCATGGAATTATATCCTAGTACTAAGGACTAAAAGGAAAAATAGATTCTAAATCAAACAAGCTTGACATCAATGCAACTGGAAGCAATTATTTCCCATATAATTATCCATCAGCCCAAGGCAAATTTAGCCTACCTGCCTTCCATAGTGCCTCACTTGCATATTGAAATTATTTTCACATAGATATTTATGCCAAATTCCTTTCAAACGTAGCATTGTTCACTTTACTAGTAATATAGTTTTCTTCTGCATCTATATTTGAGTTGAAACTACAATTTTCCCAAAATATAACTTAAAAATCTGTCAAACCAAGTATATAGAGCCAGGTAGCGTGATGCATGCCCTTATTCACAGCATTCACACTCAAAGGGGGCAGATAATTTACCTTGTAATTCCAGAAGGAAGTGAATACGAAATACATCTCAATGAATATGCTGCCAAAGGGTAGCAATCCTCCCATCAAGGAGACTACAGATGGAGTTAGATACCACTTCTTCTCGGGAATTGGGCGGGGAATCGTCTTCACGCGGCATGGATTGTTTGGAGCACCACTCCAGTTTCTTCCAACTACTGTACCAAGAAGTGCCAGAGGGAAAGAGATAAAGGCCCAGATGACAAACACGACGACCATTGTGCCAAAGGGAATGGCTGCTAGAGACCCATAAAATATTGCGATCGTGTTCAAAATGAAACCAATCATGAAGCATAGAAAAGGGAAAAGTGAAGCTGTAAGGATCATTGATTTAATCCAATTTTTACCTGCAACGAGGATGGAAGTTAAAGTTAGCGGAACATTGTACGAAAACCCAATGTGCAGCTCAAAAACAGAGTTGAAGAACATACAAGAAAAAGAAGGGAGTCCAACAAAATAGGCATGCGTGTGTGTTTTTTTCTATACATACCGCCATGGCGAGAGTACATTCCACCACTGACATAGCCTGAGATGAATGATGTGAAAGCATAACATATGATGAAAGTCGTGACAATTGCTCCTCTCCTGAAAAACATATTTACAGAGAATTGTAGCTAATTACAAAAACTGAATGTTAAGATGGTTAGTGAATAAAGAAAATGCACTGCCAATCAACTATCAAGCTCTGCTAATCAAAATGTTAACACTTCGCTATTACAGAATGATTCAAGCAAAATTTGAACTAAAAAGTATGAGATGTGCCCGTGTCCACCAACGAAAGAGAGAGAGATTGGTGCAGAAGTGGAATTTAAATTCTTGAAACAAGAAGTAAGTTGAAAAACTCAAAACAATAATTTTATTGTACTGAATTGAGGATTGAAAAGTGCACTAAGCCTCTATTTATATTGGCAAAATAATTCCCTAATCTGACCAATATAAGGAAACTAAAATCCTAAAAGAAAATAAAAATCCTACTATAATAATAACTATCTTCGACCGTATTTATAATAGGATCGTCCTACATCAGAGATAGTCAAAGCGCTTTTAACGAATTCTCAAAAAACCTTTTTTTTTTCAATATTTTACTTATAGTAGCTACATCTTGAACGTACCCGATATACAGCATGCCCACAATTGCAAATAAGATGACAAGGAGAATTAACAACGCAAGTTGTGCGCCAGTGCCAACAAGAGCAGAGAGTAAAGCTAAATTGTGCGGAGGCCGAAACACATCCCCATGAACAAGTTTCCAACCAGACTCTTCATTAACATCCCTTTCCTAACAATAAAGAACTTGAATGGTCATTAAAAATGAATTTGTGAAATGATCAAAATTTACATGATCATAAGACCATTACCAGGGTTTCTAGATCATCATCCTCACGAGCATATTTAGCATAATCATTTCGCAGAGTCCGCATCAATATCATTGATACGAGACCAGTAAGAAAGATAACCATCATGAAGGAATTGAATATGGAGAACCAATGGATCTGCAAGTTGCAGACAGCAGTTAAAATCTAGTACCTTAGATATGTAGCAATTCAAGTGTGCAATAAAACGGTAAAGCCACATGTTCTTTTATACCTTGACTGCTATAAGCTCATTTGAAAATAGAAAATAAATTAATAGAAGCTGTGCAGAAGGGTTTAGCTTGTACAAAATACAAAATGTTTACAATTTTATGCACCAAGGAGAACTTTTAAGCAGAAGGCTGATAGTACGAGAATGAATGTCGAAATTGCATATACGCATAAATGTAAATGTTCACCTGATGCTCAAAAAATGGATAATCCAGATACACATCAAAGCGACGTGCAAAAGAGACACTTGTTGGAGTCCATTTCACAGAATATGTCATGTCCAGTTTTTTCCCAACTTCTAATGCTTTTGGGTTCTCTTGAGTGAGATTTACATGAATGATCTACAAGAAAAAGAAAATAAGAAATAAAGAACTAATAAACCCCACAATAATACCAGACAATTTAGATCACCACAGACCTGATTTTTGTTGTATTGGACATTTATAATCTTATGCGTGTAAAGCACATGCTTGTTGTCACCGTTCCTGTCAGGATGCATCTCACCAACAAAACCTGCAAAAACAACATATTAATTGTTAGTAATTGGCACTGAATTAAGTGTTTGTGATATGATTTTAACTGTAGAAGTGCATAACAAAGAGTTCAAGAAAGACGTACCCCATAAAGGCAGATCATCTGAACTTGTATCAAGCACGCCAACAGACAAGAAAATGAAGTAATTAGATGATTCACATAACACTGATGCTCTGTAAATATATTCTAAAAATCGGAGGCCCAGAAACCAGTAAAAAAAAAGATAAACTGATTGTTCATGCACCTTTTTTCTTTTTTGTTTTTCCCTTTGGGTAACAAGTTAAGCCCAAGGCCCCAAATTTGATACTAATCAACTAAGTATGTAATAAGGGAATGAACAAACATTTATAAAGCCCCTGTTAGGTAGAGATTAAAATCAGACTTTTAGTAGATTTTGGTAGATTTTGATAAAAGTTGATGAAATGTGGGGTTGAAAAGTTGTTGGGCTTGAATCAAAAAAATTAATTGTTGACTTTGACTTGAGATTTTAATTGGATTTTAATCCAAACCAAACAGGGGCTAAATTTAGATGTCAATAAAGCAAAATATAAGTTACTGTTGAAAAATATCTATTCAAGAATCTTTCTGCAGGAACTCAGTACCGATGGGAGCTGTTATTTTTTAAAATTAGTCTGTTAATGTAAAATCAATATAAATATTATATTTTATAATATCATCTTTTATGGTATCAAATCCCCTCCCTAGGCCATAACCCTAACATTAACTTGCCTGCCATCCATTCTTTTTCTTTTCAAAATATGTATGCTTCATCACAGATTTAGGTGGAGAAGAGACATTCCAGAATAACCCAGAACAGTCAAAGACATAGGCAGCTTCCACCCATCCATAATACAACTACACCCCAAACTACATATGTCATATCATAAACTAAACGGGCACAATATCGATTAATGATCTCAATCAGAGAAGATGTATTGTCAAAGAAGCATATCGGCCATGCTTAAATTTTTCTGCCAACCGCTTAAAAAGATGTGGGATGCAGTGGATGAAACCTACTCCAACCTAGGGAATTCAGCACAAACTTGTGAAATTAAAACCCACATTCGTGAAACAGGTGAGTCAAGGCATGACTAAGGTTTACAGCATTTTAGTTTACAGCATTTTGAAGAGTACGTGGCAACAACTTGATCAATGTTATAAAGCTGAATGGAATGTGTCAATGACAGCACTCCCTTAAGGCTCCCGAGAAAGCTATACAGGATTTTCAGGTAGTCACAATGGACAGCAACGATCTGATACTGGAGGAAGACAACCACATCGTCGACAAAGCAACACTCACATGTTATTAACTAGTCCAAACACAATCCAAATACCTCACCTTCATGTTCTTTAACAGAGCAATGTTATTTTATTACTTACTGAACTTAGTGTGTGTACTAAAAAAACTTCCTGGATCATTGTATGGGTAATCAAAAGTGAGAACTACCAATGGTTCCTAATCATTTCCTATTCAAATATGATGTAAAATTATGTTCTTCATGTTCGGGATATATCTTGTAATTTGGTGTCCTTTTGCAAATACATTGGGGACTATTAACTGCATTACTAAATTTTGTTCTACTCACTGTGAAAGCTAATACTTGGATTCTGGAAGAGGGTTGGCAGTGATAGAGAATAATGGATCTATACTACTACGAAGGCAAAACTATTATCGTATGACAAACTCAAGTAGAAAATAAAATTCCCTCCAGATTTATTAGGAAGGAAGTTATGGCACTTAGGTTAAGGCATTCTAGTTTTCCTTCTCTGATAAAAATGTTTCCACACTTATTTAAAGGAAAAAGTCCTTCCTCATTTCAGTGTGAAAATTTTCAATTATAAAAGCGTCAAAAGAGTCCACTTTCATTGACAACCATGAGAGAAAATTAACCTTTTTGACTTGCACACTGTGACATTTGGAGGCTTCAAAGATAATCTAAATCAGGAACTAAATGTTTCAACATATTTATTCACAATCACGCATGCCTATGCCGGGTCTATTTAAGAAGAAATCTGAGGCCAAAATTGTTTACTATGTTTTAGTAAAATGGTAAAAACTAATTTGGAACAAAAATTAGTGTTTTATGAACTGACAATAGATACAAGTATTTTGAAAAATTCAGATAAACTTTCCATTTGAAAAAGGAATTGTTCATCAATCTTCATATATTGATACATCACAAGAAAATGGGGTCTATTTAAGAAGAAATCTGAGGCCAAAATTGTTTACTATGTTTTAGTAAAATGGTAAAAACTAATTTGGAACAAAAATTAGTGTATTATGAACTGATAATAGATACAAGTGTTTTTAAAAATTCAGATAAACTTTCTATTTGAAAAAGGAATTGTTCATCAATCTTCATATATTGATACATCACAAGAAAATGGGGTTGGTGGGGAAAGAAAAAACTTGTTGGAAGTTACTCATGTTCACAAACAAGGTTCCTAAACATTTTATAGAGGAAGTAGTTCTTACAGCTTGGTAAGTGATTAACTGCATCTTGAACTTTATTGCATGGCATTTGTGCATGCGCAAAACCGCTGTAGGGTAAGTTAGGCTCACAGGCAATCAAACGGTATACTCATGCACACAGAATGGATATAAATGTTATGATCCAGTCTAGGATATTTTTTGTCCACTACGATGTAACATTACTTATCTTCAAAGAGAGAGTTAGTCCGAAGAAGATCAATTTTGAAAGAATTCTGGCAGCGGAAGTCCAAATTGAGCGTCATTGTTCGCTATAAGACGATTTCCAACACCTTGGTTCTCATTCTTTCCAAATTTGTGTAAGAAGCTCTATACAGTGTAGAAATTCTAAAATACAGCGCAAGAAGCTCTGAAAAGTCCCAAGTGAAGTGCTGAGGTTCTTGAGATATATGGGCACTTAAAAACTGGAACTTGGAAGTTGAGGAATTGCCAAACGGAAATATAATTGTTGGCTAAATAGATATTTGGGCTTTAGGGATTAGCTAATAGAACAATCAATAGATACAAGGCTAGGCTTGTTTCAAAGGGTTACAATCAAACGTATTGTATAGACTATCAAGAGAATTTTGCGCCAATTTCTAAGTCGAACACAACATAGTAGAATTCTTCTCACTTGCAACAAATTTGGATTGGTCACCTCACCATTTTTTGATGACAAAAGTAGTTTTCTGAATAGAGGGTTGAAAGAGGAAGTTTATATGCTGCATCACAACCAGTTTAAAAGAAATTATGGAAGCAATAAGGCTATGCAAGTTGAGGAACTTACTTTATGACCTAAAAACAATCCCCATAGGTCTGGTTTGATTTACTGGAAGAAGTAGGAATTTTGGGGTGCAAACTAGCATAGGTTTCCCTATTGGTTTCAACCTCAAACTCAGGTATTCTGAGACAAATGTCTGGTGGTCAAGTTTATTTACCTATCAAACACTCATCAATAGCTTTTTAGTGACTGTTGCGGTTCAATTTATGCACTCTCTGAACGAAGAGCGTATGAGGTACTGATCAAAATTCTAAGGTACTTATAAGAGGACTATGGAACAAAGGTTTGTTATTTAACTAGGGCCATCAACTACCTGTGGAGGCATTCCCTGATGTAGACTATGCAGGTTCCATAACTGACTCAACATCTACTTCAAGTTCCGGTACTATTCATGGTGGAAATCGTTTGACATGGGGGAGTAAGAAACAAGTTGAAGTCTTAAGGCGCAGTGCTGAACCAAACTTAGAGTGGTAACTCATGGAATGCACAAGCTTATATGGTTGAAAAGATTGCTTGAGGAATTAAAGATGAAGAGTGAAAATCCTATGAGAAATGTTGAGATAACAAGGTTCCTATACATATAGCAAATAATCCTGATAGGACAAAGCAAATTGAAGTTGACAGACATTTTATAAATGAGAAGCTTGAAAATTTTTTTTTTTTGATAAGTAAATGCCCCCAAATTCTTTGCCCATGATTCCTTTCCAGAGTTCCTGAATTAATTTTTTTTTTTTTTTTTGATAAGTAATCATGAAATTTTATAAATCAAAATCAAAAGATAATACACAAGGAGTGCATTCTCAGTTTAAACAAGATAGAAACGCTAAAAAATTAGGCAACCCTTCTATCGGACTATTGGTTGCGGCGTTAAACCTGAAAATTGACTTATCTATATGCAACTTGTTCCAACGAAAGACCAGCTACCAGCTAGCATAATTTTTTACGAAAGGATTGTCATAAAATATCCTCCGAGTTGTGAGCCGGCAAGCTGGGTCTTACAACATCTAGGATCGAACTTGAGGGGACTTGTAAGAAATCAGATATATACGAATCTTTCGAAATAGAAATTTGTATACTAGGACCTGTTATTTTTGAGTTAGTCTCCTAATATTTCTTGACATCTTCGAAATCCCTGCTGTACACAATAATATTTTAAAATAAAATTAATAAACCCTGATACATTTTTTTCCCCAGATATATGAATTGTCCACCAAATAAAACTAACACTGCTCTGCCCCAAAGAGAAGGCATTCACTTGTAAACTCAGTTTCTATTTGTGCTGAAATAAGTTGCACCATCAGCTTTGACTCCATTGATAGTGATACCAACAAATGTGCATCAGTATTTCAAATGTAAGTTATATTATCTTAATTCACATCAATTACATTGAAGATGATGGTGCAAATTGTTGAAAAGACAACTCTTTATAAACCAATTTTTCTGCATTCTTGATTTCCAATATCATTATATTTATCCATTATCCTGCAATCACACAGATGAATGAAGCATATAACTTACCCATGAAAAATTCAAACCAATAATTATTTTCAATAGCATCCTTGAATTGTTTGACCTTCGCTTCATCAAGTTCAAGCTCACAAATTGTAGCCCTATCCACAGGTTCTGTCAAAACCAAATATTCATGGTCATAATCTAGTAAACTATGATATATACACAGCAGACATGAACAAATCCACGTACACATACTTCGGAATTTTATGTCAATCAGGCTATCAATAAGCTCATTTCCACCCAGAACCTCACCGAGGCCGCCCCATTTGTGAGCAGCATGACCTTCCGGATGACAAAATGGAAGACTGTAATAATTATATGTTTCTTGTGGATTATTGTATGGCCCTACTTTATTTACCCAGAGGGTAACAGGGTCATTCTGTTGATACTGCATGAAAGAAGTAGAAGGGTATTAAAGAAACCATTTGACAATAGTAAAGTCTTAGACAAGAAACAACATGCTCAAGAGTGCTGTATAAACATCTCAAACATGTTAAATAGAACTTTCCCTTAATTATTACTAAAAGTTGGACGCAGTACCACTTCTAAAAAACATTAATTTTCATCGGTGACACGAGTATCATTTTTGAGATGAGCGCTAATCTGTAAAGTTATGAATTTAGATGATTAAAGTTAAATGTATTTCCAGTTTGTGTCAAAATAAGTGACCTTTGCATAAGCCTATGTAGCAGTCAAAGACACGCTATCCCTTCTCAGTCAAATGTATTTCAAAATGTCAAAATCACCATTTAGTCATCAGCACCCACTCATAAGACATTTTTTTTAAAAAAAAGACATGTTTGAGCAGAATTAGATAGCATTAATCAAATAGGAAGTCATGTTACATGGTGGGTATATAAAAAATAACATATTGGCAGGAATAAGAATCATTAAAACAAAGTCAACTCATTAACGACAAAAATGGAAGGGCGAGAATATCTTAGGGGGAAAAGGCATGGTTCCAATTTTTTCCAAACTTTCCAGTGTTCTTAACACAGGGCCTAGTCATTAGCTCTTCAAATTCATTCATGTATGTTATTGTGGAATTTCCAAATTCAGCATATGATCTCTTTCCTGGTTATCATTCATTCAGTCACTCACAAAGCAACCCTACTTCGTCAATATAAAAGCAGAGAGGTAATATTATCAATATGTTTCAGCAGTGACAATCTCCATTTCAAATATGTAAGTTAGTACATAAGTTAATATTCTGTTAAATTTTCCATTGTAGAAATAGAAATCTTATGATACAGTGTACTGTGGACGCCAAAAATTTCCTACATCCGCCTCTGTTTCCATCACAGTACCATTAATCCCTTGTTAGTTGTTACATCTTTATTTGTTGCTACTTTATTGGACACTCCAATCTTTTATATAATCAAAATATACATATTCTCAATGTATTCATACACATTCAAATCACATTATCCTGATAAACTGAGTGGGTTCTTTATATAAAAATTAAAATGTAATGACATGAATCAGCTACTCATCTTGCAACGGGTTGGCGAATATGGCTAGATTCATCACCCATATCCCCTCTCTCCTGTCCTTTCCAGAGTACAATAGAAAAAGCATCTTGGTGTAAATGCTAATTGAATATGAACCCTCGCTCTTATCTCTTACCTTTACTTTTTCCATTTCAAATGTTCTAAACTGACATTGCTGTGTAGAAATCTTGTTAATTAGATTGATTGATGTACCATATTTAGGATCATTAGGATCGATTGATGTACCATATTTAAACTTGCCTTAGTTTGGTAGACTAATTAGTTCTTTACTAATTTAGGAGATTATTTACCATCTTTACCTCCATTCATTGTATATAAATAGTGGGACAGAGGAATAAACGATTATCAATTCACACAATCATTCAAGCGTGTTATTCTCTTCATGCCGGACTTGGTCCACACGGCCATCTTAAGTCACAATAACATCCATTTCATCACGTCAAAACATGTGCTAAGAAACATAGCTCACTCTGAACCCCAGCTCCAGGCCCCATAACGCCCCCACATACATACAAAGAGAGAGAGAGAGAGAATAGATTATTTCACAGCATCAATTCAAAATTTGGTGTCAAGAAGCAGGTTGGTCGGATTCAGGGCAGTTTAAAAACTGAAAAGCAAGAAACTGGACGGTCCCTTATGTAGCAATTGAACAGA